ATACAGACAAGACTTGTGAACTGAGGCTTGTGGTGAGGAGATGGTGGACTAGGGCAGCATGGGGAATGCGTGGGGAAATCATTGATGATGGGCTGGAAGAGGGCAAAGCCAAGATAGAATGGGGCAAGTGCTGCTGCCAGCATCCTTCGGGAGTCCATCCTGTATCCTTGTCCCTTTATAGGCAACTCTAGAGCATGAGAAGCCGGAGGCTGGCATGAAGGGGAAGTTGCTGCATGGTGTATTGTTATGAGTTGCACATGTTGGGGTCCCTGGGTCACACGGAGGTTCAGAGCATCCAAGAAGAGCCCAGTTGCTCATTTGTTGGGGCTGCTTGGCTGGAAAGGTTTTGGCCAGTGACAGGAGGTGAGATGATGCTAGTGTCAGAGCAGTAAGGACATGGAAAGATCTACAGATTAATAGTTCCTCCCACAGAGCAGATCTGATGTTCTGCTGTAGCTGTGCTGGTCACAGAGGGTGACACCTACGGGTGATGTCACAGCACCCTGAGCACACAGGCCCCACTGAACCGCATCCTGGGTGGAAAGGACCATGACGTCATGTTGCTCGGACCGCTTCTGGGGAAATGACTCGTGAAGACGGAGGTGGGGGAGCCAGGAGTTGCTGCCACTAAGGGACCGGGCTTAGCTGGTCGTCCACGTGAGCCCATCTTTAGGGACCATGCCATTCGCTTTCGCCTTTCTCGGAGCAGACATGCCTAAGGTTCCTCACAGGTGTTTTGACTGTGACCTATCTACTGATGCCGTAGAGTCTTCAGTAGCCTGAGCTGTGTTTGATCCAGACTCAGATGGACAGAATGGAACTGGGGAAGTCTGGGTTACAGACATGACCATGGTAGATGAAGTCAGCTTTTAAATCCACTCCTTCCATTCATCAAACATTCACCAGTCCCCACAATATGCCATCATCTTGCTTAACAGTTGGGTATAGAAATGAACACATATTAGACATAGGGTGTCTCTATAGATCAGCAGCCCTAAATGTCTCTATTTTTTGGCCCAGAAAGTCTACAACTAGAAAAATATCCTATGGGCAAACACCTCATTTGTTAAAAAGTTTTATGCATATAGATATTTGGTGCAGTGTATTTGTAGCAAATAAAAATTTAAAACAGTCCAAATGTGCTACAGTAGTGCATGATAATATTAATACACTATGTTGATGGATGAGTAAATTAGGCAGCTCTTAAAAATACTGGAATGATTTGGAAAAGTCTTGTAACATTAAGTATAAATAAGAGAACTACAAAATTGCATCCATATCTTGACTACAATTATGTCCCTTCCCCTGGTAAAAAGCAAGTAACTAAAACTATCAAAAGCCTGGGGAAAACTGCACCTGAAAGAAATAAACCAAGTTTATAGGGTTAATTTTGGGTAATAGAACTTTTCCTACCTTTAGGCAAAGACATTGTATTTAGATTATGGCTCAGAATTCATTTATGCCGCAATAAAACAGGAAGAATGTAGATGAAAACGCCTCACATTCTTACTTACAGTTGCCATGCTGCCTACCCAACTTTCAGAAATGAAACAATATTTTCTATTTCCTATATACTTAAAATTAATTTTTACTACCTTTGAGGATAATCTATAGTTAGAATCACAAATTATGTTTAAAAAATTAAAAGCAGTAGTAACACTGCTTTTCCTCTGCCTCTCTGAGACTCACTCCTATACCTGTGAATGAGACTTTTTGTGAAGACCTGATGCCTGAGCAACACAAGAGAAGACTCTATGCATGGACATCACCAGATGGTCAACACTAAAATCAGATTGGTTATATTCTTTGCAGCCATAGATGGAGAAGCTCTATACAGTCAGCAAAAACAAGACCGGGAGCTGACTGTGGCTCAGATCATGAACTCCTTATTGCCAAATTCAGACTGAAATTGAAAAAAGTAGGGAAAGCCACTAGACCATTGAGGTATGACCTAAATCAAAGCCCTTACAATTATATAGTGGAAGTGAGAAATATATTCAAGGGATTAGATCTGATAGACAGAGTGCCTGATGGACTATGGACAGACGTTCATGACATTGAACAGGAGGTAGGGATCAAGACCATCCCCAAGAAAAAGAAATGCAAAAAGGCAAAATGGTTGTCTGAGGAGGCCTTACAAATAGCTGAGAAAAGAAGAGAAGTGAAAGGCAAAGGAAAGAAGGAAAGATATACCCATGTGAATGCAGAGTTCCAAAGAATAGCAAGGAGAGATAAAAAAGCCTTCCTCAGTGATCAGTGCAAAGAAATAGAGGAAAACAATAGAACGGGAAAGACTAAAGATCTCTTCAAGAGAATTAGAGATACCAAGGGAACACTTCATGCAAAGATGGTACAATAAAGGGCAGAAATGGTTTTAACTGTGTGGATCAGAAAAAACTCTGGAAAATTCAAGAGATGGGAATACCAGACCACCTGACCTGCCTCTCGAGAAATCTGTATGCAGGTCAGGAAACAACAGTTATAACTGAGCATGAAACAACAGACTGCTTCCAAATAGGGAAAGGAGTATGTCAAGGCTGTATATTGTCACCCTGCTTATTTAACTTATATGCAGAGTACATCATGAGAAATGCTGGGCTGGATGAAGGACAAGCTGGAATCAAGATTGCTGGGAGAAATATCAACCTCAGATATGCAGATGACACCACCCTTGTGGCAGAAAGTGATGAAGAACTAAAGAGCCTCTTGATGAAGGTGAAAGAGGAGAGTGAAAAAGTTGGCTTAAAACTCAACATTCAGATAACTAAGATCATGGCATCCGGTCCCATCACTTCATGGCAAATAGATGGGGAAGCAGTGGAAACAGTGACTTTATTTTTTGGGGGGAGCTCCAAAATCAGTGCAGATGGTGACTGCAGCCATGAAATAAAAATACACTTACTCCTTGGAAGAAAAGCTATGACCAACCTAGATAGTATTATTAAAAAGTAGAGATATTACTTTTTACCAACAAAGGTCCATCTAGTCAAAGCTATGGCTTTTCCAGTAGTCATGTGTGGATGTGAGAGTTGGACTATAGAGAAAGCTGAGAACCAAAGAATTGATGCTTTCAAATTGTGGTGTTAGAGAAGACTCTTGAGAGTTCCTTGGACTGCAAGGAGATCTAACCAGTCAATCCTAAAGGAAATCAGTCCTGAATATTCATTGGAAGGACTGATGCTGAAGCTAACACTGCAATACTTTGGCCATCTGATGTGAAGAACTGACTCCTTGGAAAAGACCCTGATGCTGGGAAAGATTGAAGGCGAGGGGAGAAGGGGACAACAGAGGATGAGATGGTTGGATGGCATCACCCACATGATGGACATAAGTTTGAGCAAACTTTGGGAGTTGGTGATGGACAGGGACGCCTGGCATGCTGTAGTTCATGGGGTCAAAGAGTCAGACACGACTGAGCGACTGAACTGAACTGAACTGATGCCTACACAGCAGCAGCCATGTTAGAACCATGAGATCAAAGTGCAAAGAAGAAAAGCTGACAAAATGATGTGAGAAGGGGAGATGTCAGAGTCTTTAATGATGCCACTGAGCTACCGGACAAACCTTGGAATTTTCTCCTTGATTTTACAATAAGGAAATAGGAAATATCATTATTTAAAGAAAGTAAAATTTCTTTACTTTCACAGTTTCTAATGGTGAATTATTATTACAAGAGGTGAATACACCAGCATGTAATTGTAGGCCATCTTTTAACTATTATAAATAAGCTGTGACAAACACTATTATGCATACAACCTCATCATTGTGTTTATGTCCATAGGAGAGATCCCTGGCAGAGAGCTTTGCTGTTCAAAGAGTAACAACATTTTAAAGCTCATCATATTAGCTCCCAGTAAGTCCAGCTAACCCAGAGACCAGCGGTCTTGCATCAGTCTCCAGCCTGTTGATGGTGATGCCTGCAGGTACTTGCCTGGGCTGTATTTTTTGTGGGAGCCCCACTGACATTTCCCAGCTGGAGCCAATGTTGAAGCTGCATCAGCCATTGTGGTTCTTATTATGATACACACCTCAGCAACAGCCATCAGGGACTTTGAAAAGACAAGGTTTGTTACTCACCGTCCTGGAGGGTGCACGGCACTGCTGAGGCCACCCAGCAAGGCCTCACAGAGAGAGAGCTCAGACCTGGGGCTCTGCCTTTGCTGGGGTGAGGGTGGGGTGCCCAGGGTTTTGCAGGTTCACTCTTTATTGGTGAATTTAAAAGATAAGAGAGAACGTGTGGAAGGGAAAAGTGAAGTCACTCAAATGGTCAGTTATCTAGGTCATCCAGAACTTTCTAAAAGGGGAACTTCATGGGTAGGGCAGCCTGGCCCGTGATCTAGTTCTGTATAAGGTGATGTGCTTATTCAAGATGGGTATCTTCAAAATGGATGCCTCACAGTCAAAAGCTTAAGGTAGAATGTTTGAGGAATGAGCCAAAGTCTGAAAGGCCGGCCTCACTCTCGCCCCTTCTGCAGCTGAGAATTTCCCAGATCTGCTTCCCGTTGCAGGGTGTGGTTTTAGCTTGGGGGGGTGGGCCTTCTCAAGACTCCATGGTATTATGCTCTAGGTCAGAGCTGTGTTGTCGGGACAGCTGCGGGTGGGTCCCAGAAGGTTCAGTTCTGTGGGGAGATGCTTGGTGTACAGACCTGCTCTTGTGAGAAAGCGCCTCATGAACTTGTCACAGGGTCACACCAGCCTCTCACCTCCTCTCACTGGGGAAACCATTTCCCCATCACGAAAGCAACACGACCGTTCTTGCAAATACTCTGAGCCTTTGTGGTGACCCAAAGCTTTCCTGGCTTCTGCCACTCACAGCATGATACCAACGCTGTGATGAAAAATACACCCCCCGCCTCGGTCTCCACAAGTTTCCGTCCTCTAGCGTCCCAAGGCTGCCTATAAAGAGAGGATGCAGCTCAGACCCCAGCAGGAGACTGCGGCTTCGGGTCTCCGGGTCCAGCTCCACTGGCCCCACCTGACCCTCTCACCCGCCCGGTGTCATGGAGCTCCCCGGGGCCGCCCTGGCTGTCCTGCTGCTCACCGCGGCCCTCTCTGCTCTTACCGGCTCTGCCAGCCGTGAGTCCGTCTTCCCTTCCTTTAGGCCTGTCCCCCACTCTTGGCCAGGGCTTGGGCCACAGGGCCGAAGTCTTTGACCTGAGCCCTTAAGCAGAGAGCTTCAGAGAGACTTCAGACACTATTTCCTGAGCAGAACTTTCCTTCCCAGGGGGGTTTGTAGCAGTTCTATTCTCTGGCTCTGAGAGACAGTGGTGCGGAGGCCCATTTTATGGATTCCTGGGAAAATGAGGCCCAGGCGGGATTCTGACCAAAGGTGGAATCTGTGTCCAGTGGGCTCCCAGTGTAGCCTTTGCTCTCCTCTGGAATCCAGTTGAAATAGCATCACTTCCTCCTGGATTCCCCGCCCCCATCCCCACCCCCCAGCGCTGTCTCCTGCAGGTCTGCCTGACCCTCGAGGGGCAGCTGGCTGCCTTTCCCCCTGGACAAGGACTTAGCATGGTCTGTCCCGTCTCTCACAGTTGGTGCCATCACCCCAGCGGACTGCTGCTTCTCCTTCGTCTCCCGGCAGATCCCACGCAAATTCGTGGACGACTATTACGAGACCAGCAGCCAGTGCTCCCAGCCTGGCGTCGTGTAAGGGCCAGCCTTCCTGCCCGCCCTGGGGAAGGAGCCTGGGGGTCTGGACCGAGGCACCTCCTCGGAGCTCAGAACACCGGGGGGCGGGGGGGGGCCCACCATGTTTTCTCGCCTGGTTTGGGGCCTGCGGAGGGTCCTGGGGGGTCTGCCCCTGGGCAGAGGGAGGAGAGGAGAGGGGTGACAGCAGGAAATTGCCCTCCCCTCTCATTTGCCGACAACGATGCTGGCTCTCCGAGCGGACCCCCACAGGAGACCCAGGAAGGTCTGTGAACCCCAGGGTGAAGGGGACACGATATGAGCATGTGGACAGGCCCCGAGGTGTCCGGGGCAGAAGGAGGGGGGTCCCTGGGGCCCAGGATCCCCCCCACTGCACTCACCAGTGTATAACCCTCCCGTTCTTCTCCACAGCTTCAAGACCAAAAGAGGCCGGCAGGTCTGTGCCGACCCCAGTGAGGACTGGGTCCAGGAATACATTGCCGACCTGGAGCTGAATCCCTGAGTGGCCCGGGAGCTGCAGGGAAGATGTTCCCTCTATGGACAGTCGGGGAAGCAGGGCGATGACCCTGGGGCTCCAAAAGGCACCTCTTCTCTGGGTCACACCCCTTCCCCAGCCACTCACGGGGGCCCTCCTTCACTTTAATGTCTCCTATTTAACCTCTGTCATTTATTTCCACCGTGGAAGTGTGTGATGTCATGCATACCTGCTCTGACCCCCGTCACCCTCTTGCCCACGCATCCCTCCCCTTCCTCCGTAACTGTCCTCACCCTCAGCACGTGGGTCAGTCACTGTGATCAGTCCTCTCCTGGAAGCCAAACAGCAAATGCTGGTCGAGTGGTTTTGCCCAGGACCGTGACTCAAAATGTTGAAGGCTCTTCTATAAAAGGTAAACCAGCCTTTTCCTTGTGGTGACTCTTGATTTTGTCTTCCCAGCAGCCAGAACGACAGATTGAGACTAATACTGGGGGGAAAGTAGGGGAATATGAAAAGGGGCAGAAACCACCAGAAAGAAAAAGCATCCTAGAACAAGAACACCAGACATTCCCCTGGAGATGCTGTCCTGTAAAGTTGAAACTGACTTTTTTTTTAACTAAAAAATAATTTTAAGTAAGAAGATTTTCATTTATCTTTATTAAGAATTGTTTATATCTTTAACTGTGTTGGATCTTAGTTGCAGCACAAGGGCTCTTTAGTTGAGGTCCCAGGGCTTAGTTAACCCCTGGCATGTGCCGTCTTAGCTCCCTGACTAGGGAATGAACTCGTGGCCCCTGCATTGGGAGGCCACTGAACCACCAGGGAAGCCCTAACACATTATTTTACAACCAAATCATAATTGATATGGTCTAGGAAGTTTTCCTACTTAAATTAATACCAAGGTGATGTGTATTTGTACACAGAAATGTGTTTTCACGAATGATTTCCTCACAATGATGGCTAACTCCTGTTGAGGGTTTATTGGGTGCTGGCTTTGGTGCTAAGTGCTTACAGAAGTGCTATGCTGAGTGCCTGCCTTGGTGACAGTCTAGCCAACCCTGCCTGCAGTCTAGCAAGGATCCCCTACTTGCCAGTTGACTGAGAGCTTTGCTCGCCTTCTCCATTGTTCCCACTCTGCTTTACTGGGGAAAGTTCTTCAAGCCACATCTGAGCTGAGGTTTGGGAGCTAGAGTAGTCAGAGTTAAATATAATTATAGGGGGAAGAATTCTTTAGTATAAGGATGGCTCATGCAATTGCTGAGACATGCTTATACAAAAATTATTTGTTGTGTATCTGAAATTCAGTTTTAACTGGGATTCCTGTATTTTACCCGGTAACACTACTTGGGGTGCACATCTCATAAAGGCTGCCTATTTCCTGTCAGAGTTGAGTAACCCAGGATTGGCCTGAAGGCAGGGTAGTGCTTTTCAACCTCAAATTCATATTAGAATTATTTGGGGGAGCTTTTTATTTTTTAATTAATTAATTTTAGCTGCACTGGGTCTTTGTCGCAGTGCATAGGCTTCTCACTGAGGTGCCTGCCTCCTGCTAAGTCACTTCAGTTTCGTCCGACTCTTTGCAACCCCATGGACTGTAGCCCACCAGGCTCCTCTGTCCATGGGGTTCTCCAGGTAAGAATACTGGAGTGGGTTGCCATGCCCTCCTCCAGGGGATCTTCCTGACCCAGGGATTGAACCCTCGTCTCTTATGTCTCCTGCATTGGCATGAGTGTTCTTTACCACTAGCACCTCTGGGAAGCTCCTCTCACTGATTCCCTTATTTTCGTGCACGGCCTTCACTTGTTGTAGCACGTAGGCTCTAGACCTTATTCTCAATAGTTGTGGCAAACAGGCTTAGTTGCTCCTCAGCATGTAGAATCTTTCTGAACCAGGGGTCAAGCCTGTGTTCCTTGCATTGGCAGGTGGATTCTAAACCACTGGACTACCAGACAAGTCCAGGCAGAGCTTTCTAGAAACTTCATTGCCAGGAGCTCGCCTCCAAAGTTAAGGCTGCAATGAGATCTAGGTGAAACCTGCACAGCAGTAATTACAGTAAATACAGTTCATGTACAGCTAGTTTGAGAGCTGATGTTGGGGTGTAGTCATAGCCTGTTTTTGGCTGGTCTTGGGGTTTCAGAGGAAATACAACTCCCTTCCAGTTTTTCAAGGCTTCTGATCTGTTTTTTAGTCAAGTCCGATGGATGGTTAATTAGCAGAAAATCTGTCAGCTACTGTTACTTTCAGAACGGGGTATTAGGACTCCTGTCTCATACCACAGTGCTGGGAGCTCTGGGCATCCCGTTTCCCCACCCCTCTCACCCATATAACTGATTCCAGGCTCCTCACTGCCCTCTGCTGATGAAATGATGCCACAAGGTATGGAGGTTGCCCTGATCAGCTCTCTGCCTCCTCACAGAGAACATGAGGGTTCATTTTGTTCATAGGATGAATTTTTAAAGGAGGGGGTCTGAGAATGTTTATGGATTCCACTTTTAGTCCTTTCTAGTCTCCCATCCCGTCATTTCTGCTTATACTAACATTAGCTTGGAGGGGAGAATTCTGCTTTTCCAGATGACTGATTCTCAACCAGCAAGCAGAAAGAGTTGCTCTTAAGCAAACTATATATTTTTTCCTTCTCTGCTATCTGAGGAGCCAGTTTCAAGGTGAATTAGTCTCTTTCTTAGACAGCTTTGCTTACGTATGCATGAAGCAATCAGTCTTCAACATTCTGCATTTTCCTTTTTGATGCAAACTTGGTAGGCAGATGGCCTTGGTGAGAATATAAAAAAAGTCATGGGGGTGACCAGCTGTCGTTCTGGTTAGAGATGTCCTCCCTGACTTTGAGCTCAGCTACTGCCCTCGGCCAAGTCCACTTTTGGGGTCTGCTGCCTGCAGCACTGCAGTCTATGTCAGTTCGGGATGACAGAGGATGAGATGGTCGGGTTGCATCACCAACTCAACGGACCGGAGTTTGAGCAAGCTCTGGGAGATAATGAAGGACAGGGAAGTCTGGGGTGCTGCAGTCCATGAGGTTGCAAAGAGTGGAACATGACTGAGGGATTGAACAACAGCAAATCAGAAAAGCTGGCTCAATCTGACTTAACTGATGCCAAAGGGAACTTTTTAGTAATAGTTCGCATGGCTAAGTTTCAAGAAGTAGATAACCTTCAGGCAAAACTTGATCCAGAAAAAAAAAAAAAAGCAAACGATCCAGTGGTCTTTAAAGTATCACCATAAACCATGTTTCTTTCTAAGTTTCTGATCTCCCTTCAATTTGAGAGCTACATCCTAGGGCATCAGCTGTAGAGTGAGTCAGCTTGCTTGCGGTCCCCACCCCCCACTTGAGACGCCTTTGTGTGGTTTCAAGGGAAGAGGTAATGACCTTTCCTCACAAAGGTGGAACCCAGCAGGTGGGCCACTCTTTCTTCTTCCTGTAGGTGTAGAATGAACTTGTCCACTTCCTGAGCCGGACTGAATGGAAGAAAAGAAACTGACATGAGAGGCAGGGCAGAGAAAGGAGTGTGGGGGCAGCTATGCTCCCTTCACATGGAGTGAATTTCCTCTTCGTCAAACCAACTTGTGGAAGGTTCTGGAGCTTTTTTTTTTTTTTTTTTTCCAAAAAAACCTTTGACTTTTGTCTTGGGCTATGTATTGGGCCATAGCCGATTAACAGTGTCGTGATGGTTTCGGGTGGACAGCAAAAGGATTCAGCCATGCATTACATGTATCCATTCTGCCCCAAGCCACCCTCCCATCTCCCCTGCCACGTAACATTGAGCAGAATTCCCTGTCCCATACAGTAGGTCCTTTTGGTTATCCGTTTTCAATATGGCAATGTGTATGGAAGGTTCTGGAGCTTGAACCTTCTTCTCATTTACACCACACAGATTGGAGAATCATGTATCCCACCTTATCTAAAGAAGACCCCATTTTTGCTGGTTATGCCAGAATATTACTAATAGTATCCTCTCTGACTCTCAAAATGCTCATCCTAACAATAGTAGGTCTACTGCTTGAAAGGTCTCTAATGACAGGTGCTGGTGAGACGGTCTCAGGGTTGATATCCATAAAGGTCTGTGACTGTGTGGGCAAAGGATGCTGAAATCTAGTCTGCATGACCCCTAGACAGTCTTACACCCAACACAGGACCAGGTGTGCTCCAACAGGGAGCCTTTTCTTAATGCCCTCAGACTAGCAAAGGCCCAGGTGTGCTGCCAGTGGTGTGGGTGGAGAGAGAGGTGAAGGATGCAGGCAAGAGTAGGGTGCTGACATCAGGGAACTAGACAAAGAAAGGACCCACAGAACCCCTTCCATGCAAAGAAAGGCATGTGCTGCCCCAGAGAGCACCAGTGACTTGTTGGTATTAAAAAGAGAGGCAGAGAAAACAAGCAGAAGGGAACAGGGACTACATCTGTGTGCAGTTACAAGAAGCTTTCTTTAATGCATTATCACCCCACATAGACCGTCTTCTCCCCAACACACCAGAAGAACCAGGCCTTTAAAAGAGAGGAGGGGAAGGGGCCCAGGACCAAGCTAAAGCTTCATCTTGCTCCAAAACCTTTAAGCCTGATTTGTACCAGTGGGAGGTGTGGAGGGGGTGAGAAGTGGAAATGAGATCAAACTTGAGGTTGGAGTTTTAAACAGAAAGAATTTTAATTACTGAATGTGGTCAGAAGGCTATGGGATCTGCCCAAATGATGTTAAGGTTGGTGGAAGAAAAGTTCAGCATTTTATGTTTATTTTCTGTAATCGTTAGGATCAGTTCAGTTCAGTTGCCCAGTCATGTCCAACTCTTTGCCACCCCATGGACTGCAACACGCCAGGCCTCCCTGTCCATCACCAACTCCCGAAGCCTGCTCAGATTCATATCAATCAAGTCGGTGATGCCATCCAGCTATCTCCTCTTCTGCCATCCCCTTCTCCTCCTGCCTTCAATCTTTCCCAGCATCAGGGTCTTTTCCAATGAGTCAGTTCTTCGCATCAGGTGGCCAAAGTATCGGATAAGACAGGATAGGACAGGCTATAGC